CAGCTTCTCTAGATGACTTTGGAAAAGTCAGGCTCCATAATATGCAAAAGGGGGGATATCTGTGCTCAGGAAGGCACTTTGACTATAAAAACATGACATAGCCAAGAGGGACGTGGACAGTGGCAATCCTGGGCTTTGTCCACAGCTCTGGTCTTGCTGCCACCATGGTTGTTCTCCATGGAGCACCTCTGTGGCCCTGAACCTGGTGAAGGCTCAGTTGCTGTCAGACTCCATGCAATTCTCTGCCCTCCTCGCAGCTGTGTCATGCCTCAGTACTGACCCTCTGGCTGGTGCATCACTCTTGGCTCATTGCTTTCCCCAGCTAAGGAGCACTGTGTGCTAGGGAAGGTCTTGGGGTTATTTCTTGGACTTTGCTTCATTTTATATATAGATTGTGTTATATATTTGCCTCAGGGAGAGACAGGAACAGGCTCCTCCTCAAGCTTGTCTGGCCCCAAGATGCTCTCCTTGACTAATCTGTGAGGAGCACTGAGTGAGTCACAGTGCTTGATAAATCAGGGCACAGCTGGGCAGGTGAGTGCTGGCCCACAGTGACAGCCAGGTGTCCCTCCAGGACTGGAGTTCATCTGACCACTTGGAGGCTGCTGCCTTTCCATGTCAACATGCCAGTCTCCTGCACTTGCTCAGATAAAAGTTTCCTTATCCCCACTGTGTCTCAGGGGCTCTTCACGTGCCTGGATCAGAGGGAAATGTTTGCACTGCAGATGTCTGGTGGGGTCTGATGCACCATTGGTTAAATCTTCACTGACTCTGCTTTGGGGGGTCTCTTCCAGGCATTTCTCACTCAAGAACATTGACTGCTAATGGCTCAATTTCTTTCCCAACATTTTCTTTCCTTGTCCTGGCACAAAGTAGTTCCATAAGCAATGAGCACCATTTTCAGTCCTTTACCTTGACTCCATGAGCTGGGTTGTGGTTGGAGGGCAGCCTCACCCCACCAAAGGCCAACCTGCTAGGACAGTACACATCCTCTGAGGGCACAAACAGAGGGTCCCTGTGCCTGGAGAGAGGCCACAGCTCTATACCACAGTTGTTGGAGGCAAGAGAATGGGAAGTGGGTGGCAGAGCCAGCAACTTTATTCCTATTGTAAAGCAAGTTCCCAGCAGCAAAGTCCAAATCTTCTGTAAGCTCTGGTCCCCAGGTGATCATTGATAAGCAGAGCTAAGGCTCTTGTACTAGCAGTGATAGAGCTGCCTTGACTTTGAAGAAGCAATACAAACCCTTTGCTCCATTTGGCACCTTTGCAATAAGATGACAAGGGCTGAGGGCTGCTCTTCTCTGAATATCTGCATTGATGGAAAGCTTGTTGCACAAGCTACTGCTTTTGCATTCTTATCAGGGCTCTGATAGTGACATATCTAATCTAAACCTATATGAAATGGTGCTTGCATATCTGCAGCTTGGAAGTTACAGCTTGGAGGCAGGAATCTCAGCAGACTGCCAAGGCCATTTTAAAAAGAGAATAATCTGGGAAACGTGCTGTATTTAATCTCAGTGCTGTCTTGGTAAAACAGCACAAGGAAAACCAAGAGGGATGGAGAGCTCATGGTAGCAGCAGGATCTTCTCCATCCCATCCAACCTTTCAAAGCAATGCGGCCATGTGGCCTGATGAAGAAACCTTTGTTCATCAAGGTTCAAAATAATCATACCAGGGATGTGAAAACCTGGCAGCAGACCAAGTTTCCAGGTTCAAGGACAGCAGAAATAGAATTACCCAACAATACTATAGGCTGAGACAGAGGGGAGCCCATCTGGGGATCTGTGCCTGGCAAGCTTGTGACCAAGCTTTTTTAAAAAATGGCTAGGGGTTTTGGGGTGTTCACCTGGACCAGCAGTAGCAGAATCCAGGACTGAATCATCAAAGTTCCTGGCTTGCAGCCTTTCACATTTGGGCCAAGAAAATCCTAGTGTAGAGCCCAACCCTGGCTTCCCAAAATATCGAGGTGCTGGGCTCACTGGAGTCTGGGGAGCCACTGGTGGGATAGATAAGAGAAGCAAGTGAGGTGATAGAGGAGAGATGCATATTTCCAGATACTTCCAGACCTCCACAAGGCTGCCAGGGACCCTCCCCTGGACTATAGGAAGTGCCTCTCCCCATACTTTGGCTGTAAAGTCATTTTTGTAGTTCAGAATTTAATTAAGAGTTTCAGTTTGAACTGGAGGAGGCAGAGAGGCATTTGTTTGGGGTTTTTTTTCCTGTAGGAGCCATAAACCTCAAAATCTAGATACAATGTCCAACTCACCAAGGAGTGCAGGTAGGAGGGTGGCTTTCCAGACACTGAGTGAAAGTGAGAGCTGAGTTCAGGAATCCCAGGGAAGGGTTGAGCAAATGTCATAAAAGGATGCAACTGCTCCACAGGCAGCTACTGAGGTGACAGAGCCAAACTCTTCCTGATTATGGAAGATGTTGTATCGTGAGGCACCAGCCACAAATTGCAGTTTGGGAAGTTTGGGTTGAGGACCTCTCCTTCAAGAGGTAGGTCTTGGAGACCCAGGATGAGTGCCCAGGGAGACAGAGGAGGTTTGGTTTAAAATTTGGCCAAAACCATGTCTGATCCACTGGTGATACTCTTGCCTAAGACATTCTGCACATCCCTATCTCTGATTCAGGTACAAAAAATTAGAAATAAGATACATCAGTCTTTTTTTTTTTTTTTTTTTCCTGACAGGCTTTTAAGACTCTCTGCTTTATTTTCAAAACAGCTTAAAGACAGAAGTACCTTCTGGCTTCCCACAGGATGTAGCTTCCTCAATAATTTTTGAAAATGATCCACACCTTTTCCCTTTATACAAACAAGATTCAAATTTTAGGGTATGGATTTACTTTAATCAAATTATCAATTAACATGGTCTCATGTTAATGCAAATCAAGTACATATTCTTGGCCCTGAAGTGAAAATGATGCTGTATTCTGTTGGGGAGATGTACAAGTATTCTGAACTTTGCTATTGAGATTAAGTTTATCTCACCTGCCATTTGCTCAGCAAGCCCTGCTAGATAATAATTACCTTGGCCAAATTTCATTCAATAAGCATTTCTCCTTTCTTTAGTATGAACTGCATATCTCTGCTAAAGAAAACGAAAGAACATTGAGCCTAACAGAACACAAGGAGGTTTTCTTTTTGTTCATTGATCAATAATCTGTTGGTCACATTTCCAAACTTCCTATCAGCAATCCATAGTTCCCACTTAGCAATAGCAAATCAGGAGCACAGATATGTTACAGCTTTTCACAGTAAGCAGAGGAGGAGAGGATACCTACAGAAAACAACTTGGGTTCCAAATGGGGTGAATTCTCTCATGAGTTGTCCATTTCTGTGAATGGAAAAATTTCTGCCCTATTACCAAGAGAGTCCTGGACAATTATATTCTCCTTTTAACATTTGATGAGTGACATCCAGCCCTTAGGTGCTTCATCTCCATGGACACTGTGGGCCTGGGAACTCTGCAGTTTTTTCAAGTCTAATCTCTCCCCCCATCATGCAAAGAGAGGAAACCTGAATTGTCTGGAGGAACAGCTGGAGGTCCAGGGCATGAAAATGAAGGAGGTACACATGTGCTTCTAGGTAGCCCTTGGCCAGAGAATGTTGGCTGACAGGAGGCAGGGATCTAGCAGCTCCGGGTACTGCCAGGACACAGCAAAAGAGGTCAGTCACCACTGTCCCCATCAAGAGGACACTGAAAAGGGACATGTCAGCACAGCCCCATGTGACACCAGGCTATTCACCTGAGGCAGGCATAAAAATGAAATGCAGTTCCTAACATGACATAATTCTTGAGGGGGTTAAATGGGAAAAAGAACCTGCCTGGCTCCCTCTATGGTGCACAGAGATGATGTCCCTGCAGATTTTCCCCTCTCTCAGCCCACTTCATCCACTATCCATCCCACCGGCCAAGGTTTTCCCTCTCTTGCCTCATCTGGCAGACTGCCTGTACTAATTAACCAGAAACTGAGGCTCACTGCTGCAGCACAGAGAGCGGGGCTGAGGTGGCAGCAGCAGGACAGACCACAGCAGAAGGCTCTGACAGCATCTCCAAATTGGAAGAAGATAGGTCTTTTTCTTTCTTATACCTGATTTCACTTCAAAAAAAAAAGGACAAAGGTGTGAGCTGACTTTGGGAGGGAGGACGAATTCATTGAGGCAAGAAGCCCAGCCTGGGAGTTCAGACCCAGAGGATGGATGCTCAGATACCATGAAGCAATCCTGGGGTGCTCAGCCAAAGGGACAGGACTGGAAGAGGAACCCAGTTCTGAGTCCTGCTTTGGAGGGAGGAATTTGGCTCAGCTTGGAGGCTGCTGCTGGCCCTTCTGATGTAGCACTTGAAGAATTGCAGCTCCAAGAGCTGGACTGCTTCTTCAGTGCAAAAGACTGTGGCTCCTACAGGAAAAGGAGATGAAAGTGATTTGGTAGATCAATAATGGCACCAGCTCTATCCACATAGGACCATAGAGGTGGAGCCTGATTCAAACTTCAGTCTTCAGGTGGGCCAGTGCAAGGCCAGGAATTGATTTGGAGTATTTTTCCTACAAGACATCGATGGGTTTGTGCTGCTGCTACATCTGGGTTACACCAAACCCCACCAACACAGGTTTGTGAGTGAGTCAGTCCCTGCCAGTGTGCAGCCACTATTCTGCCAGTGCTAAAGACACCAGTGAGCAGAAACCCCCCAGTGCCAGCTCCAGGGGACACACAGTCACCACATTCTCCTCCTCCACACATATGCTTCCAGACTGCAAACTCATTAGATGATTTGGCTCTTCCTCTGATAATGAGCCTCTTTGCACAATTATTATTTTTTGTTATCATTGGTTTGTCAATGCCACGTTGCAACCGCCATAAAATGGGGTTTTATGGGGTTTCCCTGCCCCCAGATTGTAAATTGTGGTCTGTAAAATGTAGAACAATTTATCACTGTTTTATGGGCATGTTCAAATATTAACATAAAACTGGGCAATGGTCAATTACATCATCTTACCTCTGGCCAACTTTTAAGGCAGAAGGATGATATAAAACCAAGCTCTGCTTACCAGCAAGGCACCTTCTCTTGTGTTAGGAGCACATAGAGTTTTCCACCATGAGCTTCACTGGAAAATACCAGCTCCAGCACCAGGAAAACTTTGAGCCCTTTATGAGAGCCCTCGGTATGTGCCTGCATGTGCTATGTACTGCTTTGTCTCTGCAGATCCCACTGATTTTTGGGAGCCAGCTGTGCTGATGTGCTGATGGTGTAGATTGGGACATCTCTGAGATTTGCTATTTCTCTCTGTCACCTTGTAATTATTGGGATTTTAAATGTATTTGTGTGGAGATGTGATCTGAAAATAGAAGAGAAAGCATCTCTCTGTCTGGGGTGGGGGGGCCAGGAGATGATGGGTGAAGTTTTATGCTTTGAAGGAAGTCAGTCCTGGCAGGTTCTGCAGCCACTGGCCAGCGTGGCTGAGTGCTGCACACACGTGATAAGCCACCAGGACCTTGGTGGCTTAGGGACACTGCAGATCTGCTCCATCAGGCTGTGAAATTTGAGGGCAAGCAGGACATTGCTCAGCCACTGTTCTGCAATGCTGCAAAACCTCAGAAAAATAGTTGGTTCATCAGAAAAATAGTTGGTATTGTTTAAATGATGAATGTGTCTGATATATTTCCACTTCTGTGGAAGGGACAGGGAATTCTGTGACAGTGAATGTGGTTCTGCAGGGATCCAGGGGGCTTTGCACTATTTCTGCACGGTTATGTGCCAGAAGGGCCCTACCTGTCAGATCACCTTCAGGCTCTGGGAGAAGGTTTTATAAATCTGTTCTGAGGAACCCTGAATCTCATAAAAAAAATTTTGTTCCTTTATTTTGTCTTGATTTAATCAATTTTTCCTTACCTGTCAGTGAAGGAAGGAAAGCGAAATTTATTTTTAGACAGGGATGGAGTGTTTGTGCTCCCAGTCAGGTCAGCAAGACACAGGACATGTCTAGTTCCCACATAAATTCAGGATGACAGTATTCATCTTCCTTCTCAGCAGACTCAGGGACCTATGGCTCTTGGGGAAGCACCATCATTTAAAGGTTTTTCCACACTGGAATAGAATTTTTCCCAACAGTAGGCCCCCAAATCCTACTACATTGATTTGTTCAGTGGAAGCAATCTGCCCACAGATGGCTCCACCATTCATTGAATGTCTCTTGTTCCTTGGCAGGGCTCCCTGAGGACCAGATCCAGAGGGGCAAGGACCTCAAGAGCATCTCAGAAATTGTGCAGGATGGGAAAAAGTTCACTATTACTGTGACCACTGGCTCCAAAGTGGTGAAAAACCAGTTCACCATTGGAGAGGAGAGTGACATAGAGATGCTGAATGGAGAGAAAGTGAAGGTAAGTGAGCAACCAGGGCCATGGGGGCTCAGGGATATTATATTTCCTTTCTAGCCATTCCCTCTGCATATGAGCAAAGGGACTGACCATACCAGAGGTATTAATTAATGCATTGCACTTCCTGCAGAAGAAGCCTTGTATTTCTGAATCTATTTTAATAGTAATTTTGGAAAACACTAGAAGCCAGTGTTGTAATATCCCATTTGGAAAAGGAGGATAGAGATGCTTTGGTAAAATTTTTTGACAGGAAGAGTTTTGAAAGATTTGAGATGAAAAAGGATTGACTTTGTGTCATCTTGCAACACAAAACATACCTCTGCCTTAATTTTGTTGACTCAAAGGTAGTGCAAGAAAATCAGACAATCAGTCATAAACCAATAAATCTCTCCTTTTAAGTCCCAGTAGCTTTTAGCTTCTCTGCTAGCCTTTCCCACTGCTTCAGATTACCCTGGGTGAGATGATTTGGCAAGGTGAGGAGTTACCACCCTTGAACTTGGGTGGTCCCTTTCCTGGATATTAGTTTCCAATGGTTCATAGAATGTCAAGGCAACACCACTGGCAAAATCTGCCTCTCATCTCTGCCTCAGGAGGAGATGGAACTGCAGGGACTTTTGAAAGCAGGAGAGGTGATCACCAAGGAAATGCCCTGTGAATAGGGCTCTGAGAGCTCTACCAGCTGTGTCACAATTTCCAGCATCACTGCACTCCCTTTGGCATAAACCGGGGGGAAGCAGCTATTAGAACACTTTTAGCCTCTGTACATCAGCAGCTCAAGGGCAAATGAACACATAGCTGTGCAAAACAGAGAAACAGAAATGGGCTTTGCTTTCTAATTTATTTGATTAATTTTATTGATCAGTGACAGCTGCCCTGGGGGTGCTGGTGCTGTCTGCAGCCTTTTTAGATGTGCAGCTCAGGTGGCTCTGCAGTCCCCTCCTGCTCCAGCAGAGGAAGGAGAGCATGCAGGGGTCAAGGTGGTCTCCAGCAATAACATGAATGCTTCTGTCTTTCACCAGGCTGTTGTGCAGATGGAGGGTAACAACAAACTGGTCACACAGGTGAAAGGGATGAAATCTGTCACGGAGCTCAACGGAGACACCATCACCTACGTAAGTGTAGAAGAGCAATGGCTGGAACAACAGGGCTGCCCTCAGGAGCCTGGCCTAGGAAGCTACACGGGCACTGGGAGGTGCTGGAGCAGAGCAAGTGCTTGCACACAGGCTCTGAAGGCAGTTTCTCCTTAGAGTATGATCCATAAAGTACTTTTTAAGATCCCAGTTTAGGCACAGCTGATCAAAGTTTCAGGTTATGAGGGCATGATCTCACCCACCCAGAGGAACAGGTATGTGCACTCTTAGAGAAGAAAGGTGAGGCAAACTGATCCCAGCTGAGGGATGCCAGCCTATCCCTATGTGCTTTGGGGTATTCATGAAGAAATCCAAAGCTTTAAAAATCCAGTTTATAAGAGTTAGACTGGGGATCAGTCCTGTTTTGATTTGCAAGACCAGATCCTAAGTACAGTTTGGAATTAAATACCATGATGATCCTTATCCTTATCCAACTTGAGATATTCAATGATTCTACAAATTCATAAAAAGATAACACTTTCCATTACTTTTTCAGACAATGACCATGGGTGACCTCACCTTGAAGAGAGTCAGCAAGAGAATCTAGAAAGATTATATATGCCAATAATTTACTATGTAAAATGTGGCCATTAAAATAAAAATTTTATTGAGTCCTCTGTCATCAACCTCTTCATTGCTACTATAAATAGACACAAGCCTACAAAGCTCATGGAAGCAATGGTAGAAACTGGGCAGCAAACTGATCTAAGGGTGTACTGATGCTGGAGAATGGAGTTGAGGCAAGGCACAGGCTCAGAGCCACTGACACATGCTGATGAGTGTTCTTCCAGCCCTTTCCTGGGAGCAGCTGCCAGCAGCCCGCTGGGAATGCCCCAGTGAGTCCTGCACCCATGGCTGATGTGGGCTGGGGAGCACTGGGCAAGAAAAGGGCTCTGCTCCCTTTCCTTGCAGACATGGCCAAAGTGATCAGAGTGACCATCGGAGCCAGAGGATTTGGGGTGGTTCAGGTGGAGTCAAGGAAGTGCCAGTGATCCTGTTTGCAAAGCTTGGGAAAGAAACCAGCATGGGCTACCAGCTGCTGTCTTCATCCTCACACCTCTGCAGTAGGATCCAGCCCTGTAGCTCTGGCCACCCCATCCCCATCTCCTCCCCAGCCCTTCCCAGCAGGAGGGTTACAACTGCCACAGGTATCCAGTGTGTGTTTCACCCCAAGCTACACCTGGTAAATTGGGTTGAACTGGAATAAAAAACTTCTTCCAGGGTGAAATACAGATTTTCTCTTCTTGCAGGAGATGGGCTGGTTGTTCATAGTGTAGACAGAGGAAACACCAAAGTCATTTCCTGTACTCTTGCTTGGCACTTCAGGCCAAATGGAGATGTGGTTTTCTGCTGCACACAGGAAGGGAAACTCTTTCCTTTTATCTGCCTTTTCCAAGGCTGCTGCCAGGACTCCTCTGTGTTCAGGAAAGGTTTTCATATTACAGATCAAAATTGATCCTCATGCCAAGAACTGAACCAATATGGATTGTCACACAGGGCAGCAGAGGCACCTCACAGACAAATGGAAGGGCTTAGCTAAACTGTGCCTAAAAATCAGGTGTTGGTCTTTAGTGAACTCAGATCTGGAGAAACATCAGCAAAATTAATGAGAAATGTCAAAGAGGAAAAGATCTGGTTTTGTTTACTTGCTGTTGTGCTGAGGAGCAGGTAGGCGATTCTTGAATAAACCTTTCCCCCTCCAGGCTGCCACTGAAAATCTGCAGGAAATCAGCTGGGTTTTGAGACATATGGGCAGACAACAAATACATTTTTTTATTGGCAGTTCACTGCAGCTGCTCTTTGTACTATCCCTTTTCTCCTCAGTGCAAAATTGATTAAACACCTAAGTTAAAAGGCAGGTGTTTTAAGGCATCAGAGACCCTGATGAGGAAGGATGGATTCCCCTCCCTGGAAACTGCTTGTCTAGTTAGAACAATCCACTCAGCCAGTGCACTGAACTATAGCAACAGGCTTCTGGCATGGCCCCATGTCCATCACTGCAGACATTTTCTGATTTGTAATTAAGGAGAATACTTTATCTCAATTAACTTATCTTGGTGTAAGGATTCCAGTTAGTCTCACTTGCAAATGGCCCACAATTCAATGCTGCACCTGTGCCAGCTGCAAAATCATTTTTCAGCAGTTTTTCATAAAAAAATATCATTTAACACAAAACACCATCTGTGTGTCTTGTTCAGTTTGCTTTCATTGCCCACAGGTGTACATGACACTTCTTGTAACTGGCTTCCCACTTCTATCTTCCCATGGACACCACTGGAAAGAAATTATGTCATCCCCAGGAAGTGGTAGAACCCCTTAAGAAAAATCTATCAATCAAAATTTAACAAAGGAATTCAGAATCAGAATGTGTAGAAAGAAACATGCTTCCAATAAAAATGTAAATTTTCTAACTGTTTTTTTTCTTTAATTATTTAATGCCTTAGTGATAGAAAAAGGGATGTTGTTTCTGCCGGGACCTCTCTGCTTTAAGCCCTCAGAAGAGTTTCCAGGATGCTCCCCCAGCAGGTCCATGCTGACAGACTTGTGCCACTGGAAACAATCCTTGTGGATATATCACATTGCTGTATCACATTCCCAGTGTTTGGAAGTGCCATGGGTGATGTTACCCTGCAGGCATGAATTGGTGTCAAGCTCCAGGTTTATTCCTTTTTGTGGAAGAGGCTTGGTGCGGTCTCATTGCTGGGTTCAGGCATGACTTGAATCTTCTGGTTCTTGAGGGCAGCTTCCCTCATCTTGTAATACATGAACTCATTCTGCTGGAACATGCGCAGCTCCATCTCCGTCTGGACACGCATGACCTGAGGGACACAGCTGGTTACAAACCCTGGGCTGTCCTAGGTTACAATATAAAGATGTATTCTATCCCCATCTTCAAGAGCTGTTGAAACCAAGAGGGCAATGGTTTTTTCCTTATCTCCTGTTAATGCCTTGCCCATGACCCACAGATAAATCCCTCTGGGGGCCATTTCTGTTTAATGGACCCACCAAAACTCACAGAATGGTAGCAGCCCATTGTGAGATGCTCTGCCCAGGGGTGAGGAGCTAAGCATCCTCACCTGGATATAATCTGGGGTTTGGGACAGAACAAGCAGCTCTTACCCACTGGTTTCCAGAAGACAAGAGCTACTAGATCTTTTCTATGGGATCACCACTTCAACAAGACCATTCCATCTGGATTGCTGCCACCACCCTAACGAGCAGGGTGTCAGGTTGTATTCTGACTCTGTCAGTGGTTTTTCTTTTGTATTATTGTATGTATTTTATTGTGTGGGTTTGTTTTTGGTTTTTTTTTTCTTAATAAATTGTATTTCTGACCTGGAGTCTCTTACTGGTTTTGCTTTCAAACTGGAATAACTGCCACTATCAGGCACTGTTCCCAAGGGATGTCCTAGGCCATGCAGTGACTGAGGCACCTTGCCCTCAGTGTCCCACCAGCAGGACCAAAGCTGGCTGGACACAGATATTCTGCTCCTTTCTCACTCTCATTTGCTGGCGTGCTAAAGAAAGCATCAGCCTTTCCCACATCCAGCTTTCCCACAAGCTACTGGGAAGCCTCATGCTCCAAAAAGTGATGCAGGACCTGGAGGTGATGCTGTGCAGAGCCAGGAAATGAGTGCACTTCCCATCCACACACAGGGCCTGGCCCTTGGGGTGGCCCATCACCAGGGTGGGGGTCACCTCAAGTGGGAGAAGAGGGTTGCTCAGTCCCACAGTTGCACCCTTTATACCCCAGGATTCAGCAGCAGCAGTCATTCCTAGCGCTGCATTATAACAGAGGATCAGAAGGAATTCTAGGATATATTTTTACACCTCTCTGTGCATTTATTCAATCCTTTGTTTAGGAGCACCGAGATAAGCATGTGCCATATATCTGCTATTTTCTTCCTAAAATGTGAAGGGAAGCACAGAAATGGAGGTATCTCATCCTCTGCTGCACATATGGAAACAGTCAACAGGTTGGCTTTAGGTAGTAGATATTAATTTTTCTGAAGATATAAAATTGTACCAGTGAAGGTTATAGCTCTGCTATATGAGGACTAAGACATCAATAAAGGATTTCATCTGGTATCCTATAATTTTTGGGGGGTAATAAAGGAGAATGCTATAAAGCAAACAGGTCACATGAAGGGACTTAGGGGCCAAAGAAATAATAGATTCCCCAGTTGCAATTGTAAATAATTCCTCACATCTGAGCAGATGTAATTCACTCGGATCTCCACTCTTGACTCTAAGCTAGGAAATGCACCTATCAGTCATCTGAGGAAAGAAACATACTACTGCTGAGAAGGTGGTAAATAAAGAAGAATAGACACCAATAAAGAAAATCAGGTGGGAAACTGGGCACATCCACCACATGTGATTTGATATACCCAAATTCCAATGTCATCCCTCCGAGAGCAGTGAAATCAGCCTGCTGGAAGAATGGGGGGGCTCTGTCTATTGGCACAGCAATTTCAAAGAAGATTCAGGGGCTCGGCTGCCATTTCCCATGTATGTTATGGTGCAAAATAAAAGCTGCTTTTCAGGGATGAAAATTTCCAGTAAGAAAGGACATGCATTTCCCAGCAGAATGTAACATAATCTAGACAAAACCACAGCACTAATGGTTTTATCTAGATTATGAGAAGCAGTCAGCACTTAATACATCTCTCATCTCTACAGTCTGTTGTTTCTATGACTTGACTGTAATTTTGCCCAGATAAAGAGCAGAGACAAGACAGGAGATGACACCTACCTCCAGGTCTTTGGTAATTGGGTGGGAAGGTCCATGGGTTATCAGGAGAATGGCATAGGCTTTGCAGATCAAGCCATGGCCAACTTCAATGAGGCCAGCGTGCCAGTGAGTCACTCCCGCCCGCATCACGGCCATCCCCAGCTGCGCGTTGTTGGGATGGTAAATTTTCCTGGAAAAACATTGGGTAATTTTAGTTCAGGAGAAATCTAGGTTCTCAAAAGTGTCACTGACATGATATGTTTGCCAAAGAGCAGTTTGTTTACTCAGGTGAAGAGCTTGTTGCAGCCAGTGCCCCCAAAATGTGCTCTTCTTAGAAAGGGACGGGAACACATTACACAAGGACAGAGCTGTACAGGGACATGAGTTATGAAAAATGGGATATGGACTGGGAAAGTTCAACTCCTGGCTTGGAGGAAACCAAGCTCTGTCATCTCATGCCAAAAGAAAACCACGCTCCATCAATATTTTGGCACAAACAGAACACAGATCTGACCCTACGGCTCAGCTGGCACCAGCTTAACCTGACACACTTAGTGGGGTTACAATGCAACAATCACCAACTCCTCATTCAGAGCAGGAAGAGAAACAGATGGTTCCAGAAACTCCAGAAATGTGCATCTCACCCTCTGCAGATGCATCCCTTCATCTGGGAATTTTAAGTGCCTAAAGGGAAAAATGTAACTTCTCCTCTACATCCAACTTTAAAAGATTAAGCAGAGTTAGAAACTGCTTGGACTTAGCTGAAAACCTGCCCTCAAGGGTTTCTTTGGAATTTGAATTGGCACTTAAAGCAAGAAAGGAAACTACCAAGGTCCTCACCATGGTCTGAAAAATTGAGGAACACAAAGAAGAAAGAAT